GGAGCGGAGAATGTGGATCGAGTTAAAGGAGTCGGAATTAGTTAAAGTTAAAGATGAAAACATTTATTTGCAAAGAGACAATTTAAAATTGTTAAAACAGCGGAATGTTTTTGTTTAATTGCTAAACGTTTGTATTCTAATATTACTCAGCTTCACTTGGATTGTGAAATAGGCCAAAAGATCCATCGCATGATTTTGCCCTTCCTAGAGTTTAAGGAGATGAAATCGATGCCGAAGCCTACAATTGTGAGAGTGTGATATCGTCTGATGATGTCAATCCGACCTACATGTATGGACTGGACAAAATTGAGTCCTTCATTAAATCCAAAGACCACAAGGACATGCTTAAAAATCTTTTGGATGAAAATGACAGACTTAAACTGAGAACCGAAACCATGCAAAAATTTGACTCTTTAAACGCCAACGTAAGCTCAGAAAACAAAATTGATGTTGAAAATGCATCTGAGCTTAACGAGGACGAAAACATGAGTGAAATTTCTGTAGAGGACACGGTTGACTGCTCAGAATTATTAAAACGAACCTGAAAACCACAAAGAATCTTATTTCTGAAAATTCAGTAGAGTTCGCTCGTTTGTCCCATCAAAAGTCCCCAATATTAGTTGAGAAAGCAGTTGTGTATCAAAAGGTCAGGACCACTCCGAATCAAGTATACAAGGTGACAGGAGTAACCGAACATCAAACAGCTGAACTCACAACTATTGTAAACAAAGACAATGCTGATGGCTACGATGAGTACTTCTGGGAAGCTCCAATAGATAATGCAAACGAAACCATTGGTTTATCTGAAAGAACCTCCTGGAAGAGCAAAGGAAGATACATACCTGAACCCTTGAATAAGCCGGATATTTCGATGAGCCAAGCACCAGTGGTACAAAAGATATTCCTCAGAAGGATGATCGTTCGGCAAAAAAGAAGACATTCCCTCTGCTCCTTCGGCTCAAAGTAAAACTCCTGAGTTCAAAAGAAACCAGCCAAGGAGACACCGAAAACGAAAGCGAATGTTCATCATCAACCTAAGCAGATGAGGAATAGGAAGAGAGAAAGGAACCAAAGATACAGGAAGAACCTTTCTGAAAGGAAACAATTCTGGCATTCCCAGAATGCATACTTCTCACACCAAGACAAGAATCTGAAGTATAAAAACAATCCTGTAGGAAAGCCTGAAAGTCACAACAACCGAAAGCCAAGGTTCGGTTCGCGAGAAAACTTCAACCGAAACCAAAGGTTCGGTTCCAAGGACAGCTCCAACTGAACGCAAAGGTTCGGTTCTGAAGTCAAAAGAGAACAAGACTCTAAGGTCAGTCCCTCCAACGATCAAAAGCAAAAGGGTCACCTAGAGTCTCCAGCCAGGAAGTCCTCTCAATCCAATCTCTCTCATTCTAATTCTTCTCGTTCTTCTAATTCTTCTACTTCCACCGATTCATCTCCATCTTGCTCTAAAGCTAATTCCGCTTGTTCTCAAAAATCTCATTCGTCAGCTGAACAAAAGGGAAAGCAGAAGGTCAATGAATCCAAACCAGAGTCCAAACCGAACACACCCAATCCTAACAAAATAAAAGTTTTTACCATTAAAAGGAAAGATGAAACAACTCTTATAAAACGAACTTATATTGTTGACGTCTCTTTTACTGTTCCCGTTCCCATGCAAAGCTCACGTGGACCCAAGAAACTTTGGGTTCCTAAATCTGCCTAATTTTTGCAGGTTATAAGTGACGAGCAGTTCGACGAAGAATGGTACATCGATAGTGGCTGCTCACGTCACATGACAGGGAGGAAAGAGGAGCTTAGGGAATACAGATCTCTTGCAAATGGTGGCAACGTCAAGTTTGGAAATAATTCTTTCGGCACCATAAAGGGATACGGGATGATAACAAATGGGGACTTTACTATAAGGAAGGTGGCTTATGTGGAAGGACTCCAACACAACCTCATTAGTGTATCTCAGCTTGTTGGAGGTACAGGTCTCAAAGTCTCGTTCGATGATGAAGGTTCTGAAATCATAGAGAAAAAGACAAAGAAAGTGATTCTCAAGTCAGAGCGAAAGGGTGAAATGTTTCCCTTAAACCTTAAACCCATCAAAGGAAACCCAGCTATATGCTTGTCAAAAGCTCAATCCGACGAAAGCTGGTTGTGGCACCGAAGATTATCTCATCTCAATTTTAAAGATATCAACCGACTTGTCACTGGAGGTCATGTTAGGGGTCTTCCATTGCTCAAGTTCGACAGAGATCATTTGTGTGCTGCATGCGAAATGGGGAAGCAGAGTCGTCAAAGTCACCCATCTATAATCAACACAAAAGTTGTTGAACCACTCGAATTACTTCATATCGATTTGTGTGGTCCTTCATCTATCGAAAGCATCGGTGGTAGCAAGTATATTCTTGTTATTGTTGATGACTTTTCACGATTTACATGGGTATTCTTTCTAAAGCTCAAATCTGAAGCGACTCAAAAGCTGAAAGTGTTTATCAAGCAAATTGAAGTACAGCTCAAGAAGGTTGTTCGCAACATCAGGAGCGACAATGGTCTTGAATTCAAGAACAGGGAGTTTGAAGAGTTTCTTGCAGAAAAGGGAATAGTCACAATTTCTCAGCTCCCTACACACCACAACAGAACGGAATAGTCGAAAGACGAAACCGATCTTTGTGTGAAGCTGCCCGAACTATGCTAAGTTTCGCTTCCTTACCTCTTTATTTTTGGGCTGACGCTATTTCGGCTGCTTGTTTTACACAGAACAGGTCCTATCTCAACAAGCGATTCACGCTCACTCCATATGAGATACTAAACAACAGAAAGCCCAATGTGAAATTTTTCCATGTGTTCGGCTCAAGGTGTTTCATCTTTAACTCTAAAGAACACCGCAACAAGTTTGATGTCAAAGCCGACGAGGGAATTTTTCTGGGTTACTCGCTCACATCCAAGGCGTACAGGGTCCTAAACAAGCGTTCGAGAAGGATTGAAGAGACATACTATGTGACCTTTGATGATAGCTATGTCAAGAAGCTACAGGCCAAAGAAGACACCGCTGGGGAAATCTTTCCTCTAACTGGCCAGGTCACAGTCTCGGTCGCCAATTTATACGAGAATTTCTGGAGCTCTTTGACGAACCGGAGAAAGCTTCACTCTCCGAAGCAGGTGCAGCAGACAACAAAGTTGATCATATGAAGCAGATTGTCGAAGATGCTGCAAGAAGAATGCATGAAGGAGAATCGACCACTAATGACTCTCCATCCAACAACGCTTCAGTCGAGGGGGAGCCAAGCTCTCATGTCGAGGGGAGCCAAACTCTCATGTCGAGGGGGAGCCAAGCTCACAAGTCCAGGGGGAGCCCAATTCTACAAATTCAACCGAAGGTCCTTCATTAACCGAAGGTGCTTCTCCAACCAAAGATTCCTCTCCAACCGAAGGTGCTTCAACACCTGGAAGCTCAGTACCACAAGAAACACCTGAACCTCATGTTTCTCAAAGCTCATCAATTGAGGGGGAACATAATGATATGACGCTCGATTACGATAGCCAATCTGAGCCAGAAGAAATGATTAATGCTGAACTAGACCCAACCTTTGATCCGAATTACCCTCCTCTTATCAAATGGACCAGAGATCATCCTATTTCTCAAATAGTTGGTGATGTATCTGAAAAGGTTCTGACCCGATCACAACTGAAGGCAAAACAGACATCCTTATTTTCAAAGGTTGAGTTTTGTATGTTTAACTCATTCGTATCAAAAGTTGAACCGAAGACAGTTAACTCTGCCCTAGATCACTCTGATTGGGTTCAAGCAATGCAAGACGAACTGAACGAATTTGAAAGGAACAAAGTCTGGCGCCTCATTCCAACTCCTCCAGATGCTTCGGTTGTTGGTCTCAAATGGGTTTTTAGGAAAAAATGGACAAGGAAGGTAATGTTATAAGG